GGCCTGGTGCACTGGGAAGACCCAGAGGGATCGGGTGGAGAGGGAGGTGGGAGGGGGGACCGGGATGGGGAATACATGTAAATCCATGGCTAATTCATTTCAATGTATGACAAAAACCGCTGCAATGTTGTAAAGTAATTAGCCTCCAACTAATAAAAATAAATGGAAAAAAAAAATAAACACAAAAAAAATTAAAAAAAATTAAAAAAAAATAAACACACACACACAAAAAAAAGACACACATGTCCTTTCATCTCTTTGGGAGAAATCTAAAGTCTAAGCTGTAAGAAGAGAAAAAGGAAGGAGGATAGGAAAATGAAGAAAGAAAAATAAAGCCAAATGAGAGAGGAGAAATGGTAAAGAAAAAGCTATGTGTGTTTCCGCAAAGTAGGATGCCACTAGCAGTAATCTCTTCTGTCTAGTGGCTAGATTCACTACACTGAATTTTCTGAGTACTTTTTATTTCACTGAGAATAAACTTTGATAAATTTAAGTTTTCCCTTTCTGAAAGTAAATATTGATTTTTATGAATCATCAAAAACTAAATTATGTTTTTTGTTGTTGTTTGTTTACAGCTGATAAAAAGGTGTTTAAGAAAGAATTACTGAGGGGTGTGAAGTCTTTCAAAGGTGAGTGGAAAAAAAAGCGTGTGTCCATGTGTGCCCAGTTATCACCATATCATTGAAAAATTATTTGTAAACGTCATTTTTAAGACTATATCATTGTGTTGTATTTACACACACACAATTTACTTGATTCTTCTTTTCTCTTTTTTAAATTTATTTTTTTTTATTGAAGAATAATTGCTTTACAGAATTTTGTTGTTTTCTGTCAAACCTGAACATGAATCAGCCATAGGTATGCATATATCCCCTCCCTACTGAAACCCCCTCCCATCTCCCTCCCCATCCTACCCCTCCAGGTTGACACAGAACCCCTATTTGAGTTTCCTGAGCCATACAGTAAATTCCCACTGGAATTTTACACATGGTGATGTAAGTTCCCATGTTACTCTTTCCATACATCTCACTCTTTCTTCCTCTCTCCCCATGTCCATAAGTCTATTCTCTGTGTCTGTTTCTCCATTGCTTCCCTGTACACAAGTTCTTCAGTACCATTTTTCTAGATTCCATATATATGCATTAGAATATGATAGTTATCTTTCTCTTTCTGACTTACTTCATTCTGTATGATAGGTTCTAGGTTCATCCACCTCATCAGAACTGACTCAAAAGTGTTCCTTTTTATGGCTGAGTAATATTCCATTGTGTATATGTACCACAACTTCTTTATCCATTCATCTGTCAATGGACATCTAGTTTGCTTCCATTAGGTTGCAGCTATTGTAATTAATGCTGCAATGAACAATGGGATACGTGTCTTTTTCCATTTTGGTTTCCTCAGGGTGTATGCTTAGGAGTGGGATTGCCAGGTTATATGGTGGTTTTATTCCTAGTTCTTTAAGGAATCTCCATACCATCTACCATAGTGACTGAATCAATTTACATTCCCACCAACAGTGCAAGAGCGTTCCCTTTTCTCCATACCCTTGCCAGCATTTATTGTTTGTAGACTTTTTAATGATAGCCATTCTGACCAGTGTAAGGTGATATCTCATTGTAGTTTTAATTTGCATTTCTCTAATAATGAGCGATGTTGAGCATCTTTTCGTGTGTTTGTTAACCATCTGTATGTCTTCCTTGGAGAAATGTCTATTTAGGTCTTTTCCCCACTTCTTGATTGTGTTGTTTGTTTTTCTGGTTTTGAGTTGTATGAGCTGCTTGTATATTTTGGAAATTAATCCTTTGTCATTTGTTTCATTTGCTATTATTTTCTCCCATTCTGAGGGTTGTCTTTTCACCTTGCTTATAGTTTCCTTTACTGTGCAAAAGCTTTTAAGTTTAATCAGGTACCACTTGTTTACTTTTGTTTTTATTTCCATTAATCTAGGAGATGAGTCATAGGGTATCTTGCTTTGATTTATGTCATTGAGTGTTCTGCCTATGTTTTCCTCTAAGAGTTTTATAGTTTCTTGTCTCACATTTAGATCTTTAATCCATTTTGATTCTATCTTTGTGTGTGATGTTAGAAAGTGCTCTAATTTCATTCTTTTATGTGTAGCTGTCCAGTTTTCCCAGCACCATATATTGAAGATGCTGTCTTTGCCTCATTGCATATTCTTGCCTCCTTTGTCAAAAATAAGGTACCCATAGGTGCATGGGTTTATTTCTGGGCTTTCTATCTTGCTCCATTGGTCTATATTTCTGTTTTTGTGCCAGTGCCATACTGTCTTGATGACTGCAGCTTTGTAGTATACTCTGAAGTCAGGAAGTTTGATTCCTCCAGCTCCCTTCTTCTTTCTCAAGACTGCTTTGGCTATTCAGGGTCTTTTGTGTTTCCATATGAATTGTGAAATTTTTTGTTCTAGTTCTGTGAAAAATGTCATTGGTAATTTGATAGGGATCACATTGAATCTGTAGATTGCATTTGGTAATATAGTCAGTTTTACAATATTGACTCTTCCTACCCAGGAACATGGAATATCTCTCCATCTGTTTATGTTCTCTTGGATTTCTTTCATTAGTATCGTATAATTTTCTGTGTACAGTTCTTTTGTCTCCTTAGGTAAGTTTATTCCTAGATATTTAATTCTTTTTGTTGCAATGATGAATGGGATTGATTCCTTAATTTCTCTTTCTGATTTTTCATTGTTAGTATATAGAAAGGCAAGTGATTTCTGTGTATTGGTTTTGTATCCTGCAATTTTGCTAAATTCACTGATTAGCTCTAATAGTTTTCTGATACTGTCTTTAGGTTTTTCCATGTACAGTATCATGTCATCTACAAATGATAAGAGCTTTACTTCTTTTCTGATCTGGATTCCTTTTATTTCTTTTTCTTCTCTGATTGCTGTATCTAGGACTTTCAGAACTATGTTGAATAACAGTGGTGAAAGTGGGCACCCTTGTCTTGTTCCTGATCTTAGGGGGAATGCTTTCAGTTTTTAACCATTGAGAATAATGTTTGCTCTAGGTTTATCATATATGGCCTTTACTATGTTGAGGTAGGTTCCTTCTATGCCCATTCTTTGAAGAGCTTTGATCATTAATGGATGCTGAATTTTGTCAAAGGCTTTTTCTGCATCTATTGAGATGATCATATGGTTTTTATCTTTTAATTTGTTAATATGGTGTATCACATTTATTGATTTGCATATATTGAAGAATCCTTTCATCCCTGGAATAAACCCAACTTGATCATGGTGTGTGAGCTTTTTGATGTATTGCTGAATTCTGTTTGTTAAAATTTTGTTGAGGATTTTTGCATCTATGTTCATCAATAATAGAGGCCTATCGTTTTCTTTTTTTGTGTTGTCTTTGTCTGGCTTTGGTATCAGGGTGATGGTGGTTGCGTAGAATGACTTTGGAAGTGTTCCTTCCTCTGCAATTTTTTGAAAGAGTTTTAGAAGGATAGGCATTGGCTCTTCTCTAATGTTTGATAGAGTTCTCCTGTGGAGCCATCTGGTCTTGGGCTTTTGTTTTTTGGGAGATTTTTTGATCCCAGCTTCAATTTCAGTGCTTGTAATTGGGTTGCTCATAATTTCTATTTCTTCCTGGTTCAATCTTGGAAGATTGAACTTTTCTAAGAATCTGTCCATTTCTTCCAGGTTATCCATTTTTTTTGCCATATAGTTTTCATAATAGTCTCTTATAATCCTTTGTGTTTCTGCATTGTCTGTTGTAACCTCTCCTTTTTCAGGTCTAATTTTGTTGATTGGATTCTTCTCTCTTTTTTTCTTGATGAGCATAAAGGCTTGTCAATTTTGTTTATATTCTCAAAGAACCAGCTTTTAGTTTTAGTAATCTTTACTATTGTTTCTTTCATTTCTTTTTCATTTATTTCTGCTTGGATCTTTATGATTTCTTTCCTTCTACTAATTTTGGAGGCTTTTTGTTCTTCGTTTTCCAGTTGTTTTAGGTGTAAAGTCAGGTTGTCTATTCGATGTTTTTCTTGTTTCTTGAGGTAGGACTGTATTGCTATAAACTTCCCTCTTAGAACTGCTTTTGCTGCATCCTGTAGTTTTGAGTTGTCGTGTTTTCATTGTCATTTGTTTCTAGAATTTTTTTTTTCCTTTTGATTTCTTTAGTAACCTGTTGGCTATTTAGAAATGTGTTGTTTAATCTCCATGTATTTCTGTTTCTTATAGTTTTTTTCTTGTAATTGATATCTAGTCTCATAGTGCTGTGGTCAGAGAAGATGCTTGATATGATTTCAGTTTTCTTAAATTTACTGAGGTTTGATTTGTGACCCAGGATGTGGTCTATCCTGGAGAATATTTCATGTGCACTTGAGAAGAACGTGTATTCTTATGCATTTGGTTGGAATGTCCTGAAGATAAAAATGAGATCCATCTCATCTAATGTATCATTTAAGACTTGTGTTTCCTTATTAATTTTCTGTTTTGATGATGTTCATTGGTGTGAGTGGGGTGTTAAAGTCTCCTACTATTATTGTGTTACTCTCAGTTTCTCCTTTATGTCTGTTAGTGTTCGTCTTATGTATTGAGGTGCTCCTATGTTGGGTGCATAGATATTTACAGTTGTTATGTTTTCCTCCTAGATTGATCCCTTGATCATTATGTAGTGTCCTTCCTTATCTCTTGTAATCTTCTTTACTTTAAGGTCTTTTTTTTCTGATATGAAGATTCCTACTCCAGCTTTCTTTTGCTTCCAATTTGCATGGAATATATTTTTCCATCCTCTCATATTCAGTCTATATGTGTCTTTAGGTCTGAAATGGGTTTTATGTAGATAGCATAGATATGGTCTTGTTTTTGTATCCATTCAGCCAGCCTGTGTCTTTTGGTTGGAACATTTAATCCATTTACATTTAAAATAATTATTGATATATATGTTCCTATTGCCATTTTAATTGTTTGGGGTTGATTTTGTAGATATTTTTTCTTCTCTTGTATTTATTGACTATGTAAGTCTCTTTAACATTTGTTGTAAAGCTGGTTTGATTTTTCTTTTCTTATTGAACATTTAGGTAGTCTGTAATGCCTTGCTATTATACATATGTGGCCTTTATACATAAATATTTATTCAACTTTAAGATCATTTTTAGATAGAGTTTTCCAACTAGAATTACTAGGTCAAAGGATCTTAACTCTTTGATTTATATAAATGGATAAGAGTACCCATTACTGTTATGTTGTGGCCACTATATATTGTTTCACATTTTTTGAGCCTTGCTAATTTGACAGATGAGAAATGGAGTCTATATTTTTTTATTGGTGAAGTTGAAAATGGTTTATATCATTATATCTTTCAGTCTTTTAATTATTTGACATCTTGTCCATTATCCTATGGCATCTTTGCATTTTTCCTATTAATTTCAATGACTTCTTTATAAGGATATTAGCACATTGTCATGTCTATAGAAAATATTTTTCCATTTGGTTGTTTGCATTTTTATTTTATTATGTTGTATTTTTTAACAACAGTTTTATTAAAATATAATTTATACACCTTGTAATTCAGCCATTTAAAATGTACAATTCAATGCTTTTTAGTATAGTAATAGAGTTGTGTAACCATCACTACAATCAATTTAGAGCATTTTCATCACCAAAAAGAAACTGCACTAATTAGCAGTCACTCCTCATTCCCTGTAACTCTCACAGACCTAGGCAGCCACCAACTTACTTTGTGTCCACTATGTTGTACTTCAGTATACAGACTTTTTCATTTTTATGTGTTTATATCAGTCATTCCTTCTGTGATTTCTTCTTGTCATTTTGTATTTAGCAAGTCTGCCTCATTAACTAGTTTTTCTGTAGTATAAATTATATTAAGAAGCTAATTTATTGTTACTGTAGGAAGTTTCAGATCTTACTTTTTGACCAGAATGACATGATTCAGTTGTTGTCTAATTTACCAGAGTTGCCAAACTCTTTCTTTACTTTTTTCTCCCCAATATAAACTTCTCCCAGTTAATTTTGGGATCATATTTTGTTTCTGATTCCACACAACTTGCTGTAAAGCTCTTTTGTGCTTTTATTTCTAGGTAAGTGTTGACAGTCTGAATTTTTTCTTTCGTCATTTTTTCTATTTTCTCTTGTTTTTATTAAGGAGGCAAGGTTACTGTCAGTGACCTAAGTAATGTTCTACAAAACACTGGATTCAACCTTGACGCAAAGGAAATCCAGGACTTGCAAACCCACCTACCAATTATTGGTGAGCCTTTAGGATGCCTTTATCTTGTAGACGATAACTCAGCTCATTCTGAAAGCTGTGAGGAAAGACATGTTCAGAAGAGAAAACTGAAAGCAGAGATACAATGTAGAGGCTGTTGCTGAAATCAAGATGATACAGCCTTATAAAAATCCAGATAATAAGGGTCTTATTTAGGGAGCCACATTGGTAATATATTGGGAAGACTGATCTGATGTGGTAGGTGAAAGGGAGGTAGAGAATAAAAGTGTGAATCAGAGGACTGTGGATCATGGGATTGCCTCAGAACAAAAAATGAAGTGGGGGGGGAAACAGAACAGAGAGAAAAATCCTTTTTAGGACATAATTGAAGTAATTACAGGAAATTTAGATACAAGGTATCAGCCAACTGAGTAAGATAAGGAAGAAAGATAAAGGAAAGGTAAAAAGAAAGAATTCAGAAAAGATAATATAAAGATACATACATAAGAATATAGACTGACCTTTTTTTGTTAAATAGCGTAACTGGGATGGAATCAGGGCTAAGATGAAGGGACTCAGACTGAAGAAAAGGAGGGGAGTAGTCTCTTCTTTCTTCATTGGAGAATCTTGTCTGGCATGAGGGCTGGTTTCAAGTTTCCTTTGTAATAGCATGGAACCCCAAGGACTAGAAAGATCTTTTAAGAGAGTAAGATTTCATTGTTCAAGGATGAAGGTCATCAGTTTTAAATACATTTCTTTCTTTAATTAATTCATTCAGCAAACATTTATTGAGTGCCAACAATATGCCAGCATTGTGTTGTATTGCTTTATTTACTTGGCAACTGTTTATACTATTTCTGTACAATGTATTTATTATTAATAGATACATTAACCCCTTACTAGATATATATTTGCAGATATCTTCTCCCATTCAGTAGGTTGCCTTCTCATTTTGTTGATGGTTTCTTTTTATGTACAAAAGCATTTTAGTTTAATGTAATTCCATTTGAATATTTTTGCTTTTGTTTCCCTTGCCTAGGAGACACATCCAAAAAATATATATATTTCTAAGTCCAGTGTTGAAGAGCTTACTGCCTATGTTTTTTTCTAGGATTTTTACAGTTTCAGGCCTTACAGTTAAGTCTTTAATCCATTTTGAATTTATCTTGGTATGTGGTTTAAGAAAATGTTTCAGGGGACTTCCTTGGTGGTCCAGTGGCTGATTCTGTGCTCCCAGTGCAGGGGGCCAGGGTTCAATCCCTGGTCAGGGAAGTAGGTCCCACATACCACAGCTAAGACTCGAGGCAGTCAAATGAATAAACAAATAAATAAATATTTTTAAAAAAAAGAAAATGTTTCAGATTTCCCAAACTACTTATTGAAAAGACTTGTGTATTTAATTTTTCAATTATCTTTGTTAAAGATACCTTATTATCTTTGTTATTGTTGTTGTTTAGTCTGTAAGTCCTGTCCAACTCTTTTGTGACCCCATGGACTATAGCCCACCAGGCTCCTCTGTCCATGGGATTTCCCAGGCAAGAATACTGGAGTGGGTTGCCATTGCCTTCTCCAGGGATCTTCCAACCCAGGGATCAAACCTGTGTCTCCTGAATTGGCAGGTGGATTCTTTACCACTGAGCCACTTAGCACACATACCTGAATCTAAATTCTGAATTTCTTACAGAAGATGAAAAGGTTGGCTTGGATGTGTTGATGGATGCAGCAAACACTTTTACAGGTGAGTAAGAATTGGTATCAGATGTTATAAAATTGAGATCTTGATGTTTTATAGAGAATTACTTACTTAACAGCAATAGTTTACTCTGTCCAGTCATTAGTCCACTCTGCTCTTTTATCTATTTATTGATAAGTTTGACTTATTGACACTAGTTTAGATTATTAGAGATTTAGAGAAAGTGTGGGCACTCTCCATAAGGAATATTAACTTGTCCAGTGTTTTGGCCAGTAATGTGCTCTCATTTCCCTAGTGTTTTAAAAAAATCAAAATATAGGTGAACACAATGAATCTTAATGTGAAGTTTTTGCATCAGGAAACAGTCAGTTCCATAATTCAGGTTAAGAAGCAGTAACAGAGATATTACTTGCCTGTAGACCCTACTTACCATCACGAGTCATTGTGCCTCTGTGTTACTCTATGCCAGATTGACCCATGCACAGGATAGAAATGTTATCTATCTTCTTATTTGAATTTAAAAAGCCTTTTCAAGTAATAGATTTCACAATAACTCTGTGTAAGTGAAGTCAGCTCATGTATTTAAACTTCATCCTGCAGTTAAAAGTAAGGTTGTACTGGATTATTTTTTTAAAATTTAGAAAAATTAGACCTCTTAATATTATCACCTGAAACAATTCCCGTCTATTCAAAGGAGACAAGGTAGAAGCCAGTGACTTTAAAACTGTGCTGGGAAACATGGGACTCGAGCTCACTGAAAAAGAACAGTTTCTGCTGTCAAAAACTCTGCCAATCTCTAGTGAGTAGTTAACATCCCATCATGATGCTCAGAGAAATGTGATATTGTGGGCTTTGGGGTGAGAATTGTCCAGTGCCCTGAGAAACCCCCTAAGAAAAATGCAGATCAGACATAAGAAACTTTGTTATTGTCACTTGTGTTTTCGTTTGGAAGTGAGAGACTTCTCTCTTTTCTATTCAGCCAGTGGTTAAATATTTTTTTATTTTAATAGCTACACGGCTAAATTGTTAGTCCTCTGAAAATGCACCCCACATCCTCAGTTCCTCCCCCAGTATCTCTCCCACCGTCCAGCAGCTAAACTGTAAACATGTAACAGCCAGGGAACCTTGTGGACCGTGTGCTTATATTGTCAACACCCGTTCTGATTGGTCAGTATCCCAGTGACTTAGTTCCTCAAAAGTTTCACCTCCTGGACACCTGTGTAGACTCACCCACAGAGACCTTAGAGGCCAGCCTGTGCTTCAACTGTACCTCCGGCCTAATTTGAGACCTCAACATATAGACATTCTTCCCCTGCCCCATAGTTCCCATCCCCCATTGTTTCCCAGGCAAGAGAGAGCCTCAGTTCAGTTCAGTCACTCAGTCATGTCTGACTCTTTGTGACCCCGTGGACTGCAGCACACCAGGCTTCCCTGACCATCATCAACTCCCAGAGCTTACTCAAACTTATGTCCATCGAGTTGGTGATGCCATCCAACCATCATCCTCTGTTGTACCCTTCTCCTCTTGCCTTCAACCTTTCCCAGCTTCAGGGTCTTTTCTAATGAGTCAGTTCTTCACATCAGGTGGCCAAAGTATTGGATCTTCAGCTTCAGCATCAGTCCTTCCAATGAATATTCAGGACTGATTTCCTTTAGGATGGACTGGTTGGATCTCCTTGCAGTCCAAGGGACTCTCAAGAGTCTTCTCCAACACCACAGTTCAAAAGCATCAATTCTTAGGCCCTCAGCTTTCTTTATGTTCCAATGTCACATCCATACATGACTACTGGAAAAACCATAGCTTTGACTAGATGGACCTTTGTTGGCAAAGTAATGTCTCTGCTTTTTAATATGCTGTCTAGGTTGGTCATAACTTTCCTTCCAAGGAGTAAGCGTCTTTTAATTTCATGGCTGCAATCACCATCTGCAGTGATTTTGGAGCCCAAGAAAATAAAGTCTGTCCCTGTGAGAGAGCCTACACATCACTAAGGAAGTTAGTGACCTTAGTGGCAGAATTGGCATCCTGGGCAGCAAATGCTCAATGCCTCCTGTGAATCCTCCCCACATACACCTGAGGCTATGACTACTCACTAGCATCCCCCTGCCCAACTGCTCTCACGGGGCCAGTTGTGAGAAATGCAACATTCTTAGGATATTGGCTCCAAGAAAGCAGGATAGAGATGCAGAAAGAAGCAAATGGACTGTAATGGAGATGACTGCCTGCGTATGCCAGGTACTGAGGGTTCTGTCCACTCTGCAAACACTCCTGCCATAGAATGGAGGCCTCTCCCCAGAGGCAGATAACACCTGTGGGGATGTTAGGCTGCTAGCTGTCCCTTGTTCTCTGCCTCTGTTGAATTTCACCTCCATTTATGAAAAGATTTTGTTTAGAGAACAATTTTTTTTCATTTCAGTATTGTTTTATGTTACTGCTTGGGTTGCTACCTGTCTTTAATGTCATCCCTTTTTAGGATCTGTCATTAGATCTAAACATATACTTATAGGAATACGTCCTGGGCCTAGAGCATAGGCAAGGAAAAAAGAAAAAGGCAGAGGAGTCAAAGAGCCATTAAAGAAGAGAAGAGTGAGAAGAAAGAATCTTGTGTGTGTGTGTCTGTGTGTGTGTGACCTGCATCAACTACTGCTGTGTGTTCCACATAAAGGATAGATTGAGAACAGTCCTTACCTTTTGTTATACTTTGAAAGTGAAATAGAATAATTTTTTAGGTGACTTGTGTAAAATTCTTATAAAATGACAAGAGCTTGTCCTTTTTCTTTTGACTTGAGTTTTACCATATCTTTCAGGAGATGGAAAGGTATATAAGAAAAGATTACTGAGTAGTGTGAAACCTCTCAAAGGTAAGAATCCTGAGAATAGCATCTAAAATTTATTGTGTTTTGCATCTGCTTTTTAAAATGTCTGATTAGAATTTTGCTCTTTCAATGTTCCACTAATGTACTGATACTGAATTTAGTCCTGGTAACCTACTATTCTTCTTTGGGTATAAGTACATTTGAAGAACTCATTGTTAGTAACATGTAGCAAGTTTGAGATTTTTATTTCATTAGGTTGGTTGTCTTTATCACAGTTCATATGTTTATCTAATTCTTCTTTTTCACCCATGATTACTTCAATTAAAAGCTACAGCACAGTGTTAAGAGAACATTTTCTCTTCTTGACTCCAATACTAACTCTCTGGGTTCACTTAAATGGCCAGTGTTTCACCCTCCACTTAGGGTGAAACTCAAAGATAGAATCCACTTAAAAACATAATCTCCCACTTCTTGGACTTGCTTGTATTTCTTATGTACATCCTCTTCTTTCCTAAGGGAAAAAAATCAGTGTCAATAAACTGGACACTCTAATGAAGAACATGGGAATTCAGCCTGAGAAAGAGGACTATGAAGATTTTCTGACCCATCTGCCGGTTGATGGTAAGTGTTTCAGATACCACTGTACCTAGGGGGAACCTTAGGGTTCCTACATAAAAGCTTCTGAAAGTAAACCTCTTTTTTAATCTCTTTTGAAAACTTATGAAATATTTCAAACATATATAAAAATAGAGACCAATATAACAAATACAGGCTAAAGTTAACAGATGTTATCATTTTGCATGCACCTTCCTTTCCTCATTCTCTCCCTCCCACGTATACCTTTTCTTAAGTAAGATAAAGTTTAATTAATGACCCAATAAGTCCAATTAACCTTGATAAAAGTGTCAAAAAGGCAAAGTTAGGGTAATTCATTAGGAAGAAATTGCTGAGGGATGAGCCCCAGTCTAAGATTCCCTTATTAGAGTCTAACAAAGTTAGTGGCTTTGAATTTTAAAAAAAAATTAATAAAACTAATAAAAAGCAAGTTTCTGTAAGAAAGCTAGATAGCACATCTTTCAGCAGAGCCAGTACATGCCAATCAAAGTTGAACAAATTGCTCTTCTTCCTTCAGTGTTCTGTTCTCAGCTAGGGCTTGGCAGGTATAGCTAAGTTAGGCTGCTGCTGCCAGGAAACATCTTCTATGTTACCCTTACCTCTATCTGGCCTTAACATAGGAAACAGTTTTAGCCTAGCTTCTGACCTCAACACAGGAAACAGTTTTAGCCTAGTTTGTAATTTAAAACTTCACTCTCCCTGGGTTTAATAATGCTGGTAGTCATGGTCCCTACATATTAGCTAGGAGTCCTCAAGATGATTCCTACCAGAAAAGATATTATTACCAATAAACTGTTTTTAGGGTCCTTGATTCAATAACACAGACAAAATTTTTTTCTAATCCAAAAGTGTGACTATTTCTGCACCATTGAAATTCATTTGTCTAGCTAGCACAAACTATGTACAAAACCCAAATGATAGACAAATTATACCTCATAGTATAAAGGAAATTAAGGCATGATCCCTGCTCTCATATAGTTTACAGTGCTGAAGGTTGGTGGTGGGGAACATAAGCAAAATTTAGAAAGTGGGAAGATAGCATACTGTTAAGCTTTAAGAGTCAGATGCTTACGTAAATAAATGACTTCAAGTTTCCAGATTCTATCTTGATTGAAATATGTTCCAGTTGTTGAGTTGGAAAAAAGGGAGAGGCCTCTTTTAATAGTATAGATTTAGATTTATACTATTTATATAAGTAGATTTAATAGTAATCCCTCTATCAGAAGGGATTGCTATTAAACTTGCTTCTTTACATTAAGGATTATTTGATACTATACAGAAAGTGATATTAATTAAATGAATGCTCATGCTAACATTTTGATCTTTCCTGTTTCTTGTGTATTTTGAGTTAAAAGAGTTACTAAAGAAAATCATGAAAAATAGATAAATTCCAATACTTTACAACTTAATTGTTTACAACTTACAACTTAAATGTTTTATAAAATTTTTCTCTAAGTTTTTTTCTGTGCCTGAATTGTCCTTTCTTACAGAGAATCAAATGGTTGATTTGGCTGTGGCAATGGATGATGCAAAAAATTTCACTGGTGAGTAAGCAGTTAGGGGGAAAAGGAATTCATTTTTAAGTAAGACCTTAATGCTTTATTTTTTCAAAAAAGATGTTTTTAAACAGCCATTTTTTTCTTTGGGCTATTATTGACATGCTAAATTGACAAAAGACCCTGATGCTGGGAAAGATTGAAGGCAGGAGGAGAACAGGACAACAGAGGACGAGATGGTTGGATGGCATCACCAACTCGATGGATATGAGTTTGAGCAGGCTCCAGGAGTTGGTGATGGACAGGGAAGCTTGGCGTGCTGAGTCCATGGGGTCACAAAGAGTTGGACGTGACTGAGCAACTGAGCTGAAATCAACTGTCTACAAATTTAATGTTAAATGTTTCTTTTATAATCTGGTGTGGGATTTTCCCTGAATATAGCTATATTATGTGATGTTTTTAATCAATAATGTTTTACACTTCACCATTGTTTTAAACAACCAAAAACCCAGGTCTCCTGCATTGCAGGCAGATTCTTTACCAGCTGAGCCACCCAGGGAGCCCAAAATATAGGTCAACACTGTCCAATCTCAAGGTAAATTTTTGTAGGGTAGCTAGGAAATTCAGTTACTGTGTCTGAAGACCCAATAGTTCAGGAAACCTAATGGCTTTTGACTTATACCTGGAATTATGAAAACTTTTCTTTTGCTTGATTTAAAAGTATGAATTCTATTTCTGACTCAATCCACCCACCCACATGTCCTTTGAATCTACATAGTTTAACAAATTTCATAGTCAATTTTCTCATCTAATTAAAGATGATGCCACATAGGTTATCTTTTTCATAGTTTGAAATCTTTAGTCCATTCCTAAAATTGCTGTTGTTGTTCAGTCTATATGTTGTGTCTGACTCTTTACAACCCCAGAGACTGCAGCATGCCAGGCTCCTCTGTCCTCCACTATCTCTCCCAGTTTGCTCAAATTCATGCTGGTAATGCTACCTAACCATATCATTCTCTGCTGCCCCCTCTCCTTTTGTTTTCAATCTTTCCCAGCATCAGAGTCTTTCCCTAAAATGAGTCCTAAAATTGTCACATGTTAATAATTCCTGTCTTTCCAAAGGAGAGAAGGTTAATGTCAGCGATCTGGACAATGTGATGAGGAGAATGGGGCTAGCACTCACTACTGAGGAGCAGAAGGAGCTGCTGAAAACTCTGCCAGTTCATGGTGAGGATTTAGCTCAGCCTGGGAAACTTAGAGTCATGGGCTTGTGTATGAAAACTGGTGAAATTATATATGTGTATTGTCCAATAAAACCTAAATTGTAAAACACAATCCTCACACGAGAAGAAATCTTGTTCCTTACATTTTAATACAGAAAATTGACAACATCTTTTGTTGTTCAGTTGCTAAGTCGTGTCTGACTGTGTGACTCCATGGACTGCAACACACCAGGCTTCCCTGTCCTTCACTGTCTCCCAGAGTTTGTTCAGAGTCAGGTCCGTTGAGTCAATGATGATATCTTTCACTAGTCTCCCACCATAATGGCTAAATTATCCTGTCTCTCTGGGAGCACTGTCTAATCTAAATCATGACCAAGTCAAAAAGGGAAGTTGAAGAAGAAACAGAAGGAAGGGAAAAGGAAGAAACAAAGAAGCAAGACTATTTTGAACTGAACAGATCAGTTCAGTTCAGTCACTCTGTCGTGTCTGACTCTTTGCGACCCCATGAACCACAGCACGCCAGGTCTCCCTGTCCGTCACCAACTCCCGGAGTCCACCCAAACCCATGTCCATTGAGTCGGTGATGCCATCCAACCATCTCATCCTCTGTCGTCCCGTTTCTTCCTGCCCTCAATCTTTCCCAGCATCAGGGTCTTTTCAAATGAGTCAGCTCTTCGCATCAGGTGGCCAAAGCATTGGATCTTCAGCTTCAGCATCAGTCCTTCCAATGAACACCCAGGACTGATCTCCTCTAGGATGGACTGGTTGGATCTCCTTGCAGTCCAAGGGACTTTCAAGAGTCTTCTCCAACACCACAGTTCAAAAGCATCAATTCTTCAGCGTTTAGCTTTCTTTATGGTCCAATGCTCATATCCATACATGACTACAGGCAAAACCACAGCTTTGATTAGACAGAAATTTTGTTGACAAAGTAATGTCTCTGCTTTTTTAATATGCTGTCTAGGTTGGTCATAACTTTCCTTACAAGGAGTAAGCATCTTTTACTTTCATGGCTGCAATCACCATCTGCAGTGATTTTGGAGCCCAAAAAATAAAGTCAGCCACTGTTTCCACTGTTTCCCCATCTATTTCCCATGAATAGGTAGATTTATATCAGTGAAAGCTTCCTTCAGCTTTGGTTTCATTCTTACTTGAGGATAAAACAGAATAACTTCTAAACAAATCAGAAAGGAGTGGTTTTTTTCTCCTGAAATTATGGATGTTATGTTGTCTCTGTGCTGTCTTTGTTAATCTTTCCATCATTTAACTTATATTCTTAATTGTGTTTCATATTACAGCTGATGGAAAAGTATTTAAGAATAGATTGCTAAAAAGTGTGAAGGCCCTGAAAGGTGAGTGAAAAGTATGATGAAAGAACAAGTAAAAATAAAATCTTTAGCATTTTCTTTTAAATATTCCAAGTTTGCTTCCTGCCAATTTATTGATCCATTGTCATGACTCATAACCTCTCATTCTTCTTTGGGTGCACTGCCCTTTAAGATACAAGTTAAAGTATATTACTGTAGGAAGTTTCTAACACTGTTTTCTGGATAGAATCATATAAGTTGGTGGTTATTTCAATCACAAATCATTAGACTTACCCGAAAGTAAAAGTATAAGTCGCTCAGTCACGTCTGACTCTTTTGACCCCCTGAACTGTAGCCCACCAGGCTCCTCCAGATTTTCCAGTCAAGAATACTGGAGTGCATAGCCATTCCCTTATCCATGGGATCTTCCCAACCCAGGGATTGAACACAGGTCTCCTGCATAGCAGGCAGATTCTTTACCATCTGAGGTACCAGGGAAGTCCTAGACTTACCTATTCCTCTCTAAATGACCTCTCATGGAAAACAAAACAGAGTCCCCTGGATAGACATAAAGAAAGATATCCTATTTCCACTTTCTATACTAATTCACTGTAAACAATTATATTTTTAATTAGAAAAATATTAAACACAAAATTACAAGAAAATTATTTCTACCACTTATAAAAATTTATATAAAGAAGTAAAAGTCAAGTCCCAAGGATGTAATGTCCAACATGTTGACTGTGGTGAAGAATACCTTATTTTATATTTAAAAGTTGCTAAGAAAGTAGATCTTAAAAGTTCTTACCACAAGGGGGAAAAGTATGTAACTATATGTGGTGATGGAGGTGAACTAGATTTATTGTGGTGATCATTTTGCAACATATCCAAATTTTGAATAATTACATCATATACCTGAAATTAATGTTATATGCCAACTATATCTCATTTTTTAAAGTGAAAGTCTTCCACTTCCCACTGATCTAATCCCTCTCCATAAAGAATAAACACTGTTTACTGTTTAGCTTTGTCTCAATGGTTACCTTTCTGAATTTTTTCTTACTTTCAAATCTAAATCTTACAGACAAATCTAAATCTTGGGAGAGATATATGTTAATAGTTTCTTTGTGCCCTTGTGCTTTATTGTCCAATGAGGTTTCTGATGCATGATCATGATTGGCATTTTTCACTCTTAAGTGTCAATACTCTTGTTTTTATTCCATGCCCTTCTTTCCAAAGCACCAAGGGTCAAAATAAAAAAACTGGAATCTTTTGTGGAAAACATGGGAATTAGACTCAAAGATGAGGAACTTGAGGAACTAATGACCCAACTGTCAGCTGATGGTGAGTATCAGACATCTTTATGTTCTTCAGAGAAGCATTGAGCCCTTGTATTAGAACTGCTGTAAGTAGCCTTTTTAGTACCATAATGAAGTAAGTGTAAAAAGAAAGACTTAATCTTGACTCATGAAGAAATATCATCTCCAAAAACACTTTTGAAAAAGTACATTGGGAATGTTGCTTGCAGGACTCAGCCATACCTGGGAATACCACATACTTAACGAGTTAAAGAAAAATGAATTTTTAAATTTCACTCATAAGGGAACATGGTAATAAGGGAACATTTAAGAAAGTCAAAAGTCAGATGATGAACTAGGAGAAAATGATAAGGTCCCTAAGGCAGAAAAAGCCCTCATACATTGATTAAAACATACTGACAATAGAAAAATAGGCAAATATTCATAAAAGAGGAAATCTAAAAGTCTAATAACATATGAAAAGATATTTAACCTCACAAGTAATCATGAAAATACTAAATAAAGCAAGGCATGGAAATATTTTCAGTTCTCAGGCAAAAATTAATAAGACTGAGAACATTTAGTTCTGGTGAGAGTGAAGGGAAAGGGACTTACTGATACATTTGGGTGAAAGTTGCCATTGCTCTTGGAAAAATCATTTGGCAGTACTTTGGGGGGGGGGGGAAACATCCCTTTTCCCTGGTGAATCTAGCCTACATGCTTCTTCTGTAATATATGGTATTTCTTTTTGCTGAGGTCTGGTCCCTATTCCGTCACTAACTTGCTGACAGTTTAACCCTACTGAATCTAAATTTCTTCACATGTAAAACAAGGGGTTGAATTAAATTATTTTCTATGGTAATTTCTTGCCCTGAAATAATTTAGATAATGCATATAAAGGTCTTACTTTGGTGTCTAGAATACTCAGTAAATGTTGATCATGATGACAGTGGTAGTGGTGAAGATGACAGGGAAGATGGAGAAAATGTTGAAGAAGAAAAGGAAATTCTATGATCTATGAATCAATATTGCCTGTTATATAAATATAAGTCCTAAAAGAATAAATATTTGTTACAAATTATGACCTTCATATAGATACATAAGGTAAAAATACAACTTAGAACATTTTACATGAAATAGCACTGAGCTCACTGGCTTCCTTCTCCACTACTCCTGTTCTTATTCCTGGCAACTTTAATATCCTCTATATAGATCAGAGGCCATAAACCTCTTCCACAGTCTGATTAATTGGACCCCTTCTGAAAAATAATATTTTTAAATGCATAAAATAGAATATATAAAATTACCAAGAAGCTAATTATATTAAAATATAATTTCTCAAAACATTAGTGAAATAAAGTATTAGTACTTATTAATACATTTAACTGTTTCTGGTGTGATCACTCACCTAGAGCCAGACATCCTAGAATGTGAAGTCAAGTGGGCTTTAGGAAGCATCACTATGAGCAAAGCTAGTAGAGGTGATAGAATTCCAGTTGAGCTATTTCAAATCCTGAAAGATTGTGCTGTGAAAGTGCTGCACTCAATATGCCAGCAAATTTGGAAAACTCAGCAGTAGCCACAGGACTGGAAAAGGTCAGTTTTCATTCCAATCCCAAAGAAAGGCAATCCCAAAGAATGCTCAAACTACCGCACAATTGCACTCATCTCACACACTACAAAGTAATGCTCAAAATTCTCCAAGCCAGGCTTTAACAGTATGTGAACTGTGAACTTCCAGATGTTTAAGCTGGTTTTAGAAAAGGCAAAGGAACCAGAGATCAAATTGCCAACATCTGCTGGATCATCAAAAAAGCAAGAGAGTAAAACATCTATTTCTGCTTTATTGACTATGCCAAAGCCTTTGACTGTGTTTTCCACAACAAACTGTGGAAAATTCTTCAAAAGATGGGAATACCAGACCACCTGACCTGCCTCCTGAGAAATCTGTATGCAGGTCAAGAAGCAACAGTTAGAACTGGACATGGAACAAAAGACTGATTCCAAATCACGAAAGTAGTATGTCAAGGCTGTATATTGTCACCCTGCTTATTTAATTTATATGCAGAGTACATCATGAGAAACACTGGGCTGGAGGAAGCACAAGCTGGAATCAAGATTGCTGGGAGAAATATCAATAACTTCAGATATGCAGATAACACCAGGCTTAGGGCAGAAAGTAAAGAAGAACTAAAGAGCCTCTTGATGAAAGTAAAAGAGGAGAGTAAAAAAGTTGGCTTAAAACTCAACATTCAGAAAACTAAGATCATGGCATCTGATCCCATCACTTCATGGCAAATAGATGGGGAAACAGTGGAAATAGTGACAGACTTTATTTTGGGGGCTCCAAAATCACTGCAGATGGTAACTGCAGCCATGAAATTAAAAGACACTTGCTCCTGGGTAGAAAAGCTATGACCAACCTAGACAGCATATTAAAAAGCAGAGACATTACTTTGCCACCAAAGATTTGTCTAGTTAAAGCTATGGTTTTTCTAGTAGTCATGTATGGATGTGAGAGTGGGACTATAAAGAAAGCTGAGTGCCAAAGAATTGATGCTTTTGAACCATGGTGTTGGAGAAGACTTTTGAGAGTCCCATGGAGAGCAAGGAGACCCAACCAGTCCATCCCAAAGGAAATCAGTCCTGGATATTCATTGGAAGGACTGAGGCTGAAGCTGAAAATCCAATACTTTGGCCCCTTGATGTGAAGAACTGACTCATTGGAAAAGACCCTGATGTTGGGAAAGATTGAAGGTGGGAGAAGGGGATGACAGAGGATGAGATGGTTGGATGGCATCACCGACTCAATGGACATGAGTTTGAGTAAACTCCGGAGATGGTGAAGGACAGGGAGGCCTGGCATGCTGCAGTCCATGAGGTCGCAAAGGGTTGGACACAACTAAGCAACTGAACTGAACTTAACTGAACAAGTTCTAGTACCAGGTCTAATAATTATTGTCATTTTAAAGTAGTGAAGAGCATAAGTAACTTTTCAATATATTTGCATCAACTATCATGTGATATGAAAATGGTAGTGATTTATTATCAATAGTAACAAAGTCACAGGTTCTTCTACTACTACTATGGTTTGTGGATTACATGAATAAATAAAGAAAATGCTAAATTTAAGTTAGTGATTAATGAAAATAAAGATGCATTTTACAGGGAGTCCTTCAGCTTGAATGGAAAAAAATCTATACATACAGGATCCACGGACCCCAGATTAAGACTCTTGTTATGGGATTTCCCTGCAGTCCAGTGGGTTAGAGTCTATGCTTTCATTTCAGGGCATACAGGTTAGACCTCTGTCAGGGACCTAAGATCCCACATGCCACAGAGTGCAGCCAAAAAGAACCAAAAAAGAATTTAAAAAAAGAACTCCTGGTACAGATCACCCATCCAACAGCCTGACCTGCTGTTCCTTGACCTGTTTAACTTCAATCATCTTTTCCTTTGATGACATTAATCTTGTCCTTGCCTAATACTTCATCACCCTGAAAATATTTATTTTATATATCCACTGTCTACCCATTATCCTTCATTTACAATGCAAGCTGTTCTACCATAACACAATGTAGGAATGCCGGAGAAATCTCCCATTCTGTGCAAGTACACTGAAGTAGCTGAGCTTATGGGGGAAACTGAGAAAGCCCATTCAAAATCTATGCCAGTTTGTAAGCAGAGCACTAACAAAAGCAGCAGTTGATACTGTGTGAAGTTTGAAAAACCCAGGTAAATAGCTCAGAGTAGTTGGAAGCCATTCAAAAATACACACATACACACAACCCCCAAAAAGAGTTAAGCTGACATGCAGCTCTGAAATAATGTAGATGGAAGTAGAATTCTGAGCCAGTGAACCTGATTCCTCCTCATATATTATAGGCACTTATTTTTTAATTTTATTAAAATAAAGCTGAGAGGGCCCCTACTATAGCCAGTCCAGGTTTTTTGTTTTTGTTTTTGTTTTTGCTTTTCCTGCTGAGGTTTATAATTCTGATTCTCTTACTTAGGAAAAATTATGTATGAACTAATACAACTTCCACATTATTGTGACATTATTCCATTTACCAATTGAATATAAAGAATTGGTGCTATTGAACATGGGATGTAGCAGAATGTAGAAATCCAACTCTAGCTACTCTCCATCCTTATGTAGGCCTTCAGTGCCTTAACTCAATCAGTCTTTCATTATTTAACTCCTCCCCATATGTCCTTGTTTGCTTCCTTAAATTAGATTCAATACTTCAACATTATATAACCTTAAAAACTCTCAAAACTCCTAACAAACTTGCTTGGCAAAACCCCAGCCATCGCATTACTCTATACTTGCTCCTGAAAAGCCTTAACATTGCGGAAGAAAATCACAAAACTGCACTAATAGAACTCACTTGAACACATTGGCCATGAATATCAAGTCAGTCCTTAATGAGGCCAAAGTCCCTGCTACCTTTTCCAACTAAATTCACTTTTCTCACTCAGATAATTTCACCACTTCTCTCTTCAAATTTCCAACACCTCCTCATCTCAGACTTCATAGAGAAAAAAGATTCAGTTAGATAAGAATAACCTCCTCCTTGATATCTACGAACCTACCTATTTCTATGCCCACATGCCCTGCTTTCATCTTGTTATAAAGGAATCTCTGCTCCCACTGTGAGCCAATCCTTCCATTTGTGCCTTGAATCTCATTTCCACTTACCTTTCAAAGACTTAACTCCTGTAATTTTGCTCTTTCTCTCCTGCATCATCAGTTTCTCCCTTTCTGCTGGATCTCTGTATTCCACTGACAGGGAACTATGTCTCTTATTCACCTTGTCCCTGGCCAGCTCCTACTAGATCAGTTCCTCTTCACAGCGGAACCTCTCAAAAAGCTGACATTACTCATTATCTTTACTTCCTAACCTCCCATTCACTCTCCATTGCTCACTTCCCTGCCAGGGAGCTGAACCAACTCTCAATCATCAGTGACCTCTTAACAAGCTTCATGATCAGTTTTCTGTTCTTATTTACTTGATATCTCAGCTTTTGACATAGTGACTATCCCCTCTTTATCGAAACATTTTTTATTTCAGACTTTCAAACCTTCATATCTATCTGATTTTCTTCTTTTTCACTGACAGCTTCTTCTCAGTTTCCTTTTCTGACTCCCTCCCTTCAAGGTCTCTGAATAACAAAGTGCCCCAGAGCTAGACCGTTAGTTGTCTTTTTTTAAATCTACATCCTCTTTTTATGAGATTTCATCCAGTCTCATTGGGCGACATATTGTCTTTGAGCTGATAAAAGCAAATTTATATCTCCAGGGCAACCTCCCTAAGTCAGGAATGGTATATCAAACTAGTTATTTATTTGGTATCTCCACTTGGATGTCCAAAAGCACCACAGATTTAATGGACTTATTTAATTCCCCTAAAAAGTCTCAAGCCCTCTCCTCCACCTCCCCCCCGCCCCGCCCCCCACCCCATTTCAGTAATGTCATTTCGTCTATCCTGTTGTCGTTTTTTGGAGGGAAGGGGAGGAAAGACTAGATTTCATTTCTTTTTTCCCCTCTCATTCCACATTCAAATCTAGGCTGTACTTGAAAAATAGGTCCCAAATCCATCCATTATCACCATCTTTACTGCCATAACCATAGCCCTAGCCACCGTCATCTCTTTCCTGGGCCAATAAAACAGACTACTATCTAGTCCTCATTCCTCCAATTTCCCCATCCTGCATAGAACAGCTAAAGTGATCCTTTGAAAGCTGAAATCAGATCAAATTACTCCCCTTCTTCTAGGCCTCCAGACATTCATTGCAACCAGAATAAAATCCAAGCTTTATCATCATGGCCTACAAGGCCCTGCATAATTTGGCACCTTTCACACTGGCTTTCTCTCTCTCTCTCAATCATGTCAAATTCATTCCCATTTTAGGCCTATCGCACATACCGTTTTTCTGCTTGGAATGTTCTTCTCTCAGTTCTTCACATGACTCTCGTCATCATGCAGGCCTCAACCCAAATAGATACACATCAGAGAGGGCTTTCCTCAGCCCCCTGTCTAAAGCAATCCCACCCACTATTACACTTTAGTTATATTGCCCTGTTTCATCTTTTTTTTAACTTTTTTCTTTTTAGCTTTTTAAATTTTTTTGCTTTTTATTTTGTGCTGTTTCATCTTTGATAGCATCTTAACAATACCTCAAAAAAATAGTACCTTTCTGCTCATTTGTTTACATGCTCATTGTCTGTTTCCCTCTACCAGATGTACACTCCATAATAGCAAGAACTCTGCCACTGTGTTTACTCTTGTATCCCCAAAGCCTAGCCAAGTGCCTTGCACACAGAGGTACTCCTAAGTACTTGTTGTTGTTTAGCCACCAAGTCATGCCCGACTCTTTTGTGACCCCATGGACTGAACTGTAGCCCTTGAGGTTCCTCTGTCCATAGGATTTCCCAGGCAAGAATACTGGAATGGGTTGCCATTGCCTTCTCCAGATCTTCCCAGTGCAGGGATCAAACCTGCATCTCTTGTATTGGCAGTTAGATTCTTTTCCACTGAGCCACCAGGGAAGCAAAGTGTTTGTTGATTAATAACTAATACAGATACTCAGGGTTAGGTTTATTTGTCCTGTCTTCCTACACTTACTTGTAACCAAACACTTCTTTTAAAATTTTTATTCATTTTATTTTATTTATTGTTGGCTATGCTGGGTCTGCTGCCGTGCGCAGGCTTTCTCTAGTTGCATAAAGTGGGAGCTACCCTTTCTTGTGGTGCTTGGGCTTCTCATTGCAGTGGTTTATCTTGTTGTGGAGCACAGGTTCTAGGCTCATAGTCTCAGGAGTTGTGTCACATGGGCTTCGTTGTTCCATGGCGAGTGGAATCTCCCCAGGGGTCGAACCCATATCCCCTGCACTGGCAGCTGGATTCTTAACCACTGTGCCACCAGGGAAGTCCTACCAATCACTTAGTAATTTAACTTTATTCTAGTAGCCTCTAAAAGCAAATAGGAAAATACAAGAATGATTTATTACAGACTGCAAGCTTTATTTCTAAGATAATACTGTTATCTCTAAGGATAAGTTCATAAAATTCTAAGGAAAATTAGAAAAAAGATTATTGAATTCATACTTTCAGAACTTTATGCATCCTAAGTGTGAATCTCAGTAGCATTAGCTTCTCTGATTATGAAGTTTATTTCCCTTTCCTTACAGGTAATAATACAGTTGGTCTGAATGATTTGATGGATGCTATCAGTTATATCAAGGGTGAGTTGCAAGCTATGATGAAGAGATATTATAAATAGCATCTTAATATTTTGCACTTGGTGAAGAAAAATATATTCCCTTATGAATGTTTAAATTCTTTCATATGTGTTCCATTTTTGTGGATGCTGCTGAAATTCAGTAAATAACATTTAATATGGGCTTATATGTCAATATCCATTAAATTCTCTGACATTTCCCTGGAAGAATTCTTCAACATAGTTATAGATCTCAAGAGCCACAGAATTATTCCTTTTCCCCATTAGCCCCAATCCTAGAAATGTATCCTCTGGAAATAACTTAACTGAATAAAAGAAAAAAAATCTCTTTCTAAAGACCTTCAGAGAAATTTGAAACAGCCTAAATATCTAACAGTTATGGGAATTACCACATCAACCAAGGTAAGTCAGGCTTATGGGATATCATGTGTTGAAATGTTAACTGTAAAAATTATGTAGCAACTTGGAAACAAGTTTATGAAGTAATTAAATTACATTAGGTTGGAAAAACAGGATACAAAGTTATATGTATGTTAGATTTCCACATTATGAAAGACCAGAAATGGAATATGAAAAACTAAAAATGGTTTTGTGGTGGGGTGATATATTTTTCCCACTTTATAATAATCTTAAATGTTATTACATTATTTTTACAATGAATGAGAAAAAAGTTACTTCTATGTTGAGATGAATGAAATTCTTGAAATGCCAAGTGCTCAGAGAAGCAAACTCCAGGTAAACGTTTCCTTTTTCCCCTATCAAGTTCATACTACGTTAACTTTTCTTTAATTGGAGGATAATGGCTTTACAATGTTGTGTTGGTTTCTGCCATACAACAACATGAATCAGCCATAAGTATACATGTGTCCCCTTCTCCTAAACTTCCCTCCCACCACCCCTATCTACTCCACCCACCTCCGCCGTAAATCACAGAGCACTGGGTTGAGCACCCTGTGTTACATAAAAACTTCTCAAACTTTTTTTTAATAAATTAAAAACTGGTCTATAGAAAAAACTTAACTTTCCAGTAGGGTGGCAGGAAGAGAAAAAAAAAACAAATCTATATGTAGCTTAATTTGCTACATTCAATTTTGCAATAACCCATCAGTGAATTCTTTTTTGTAACCACTTTCTGATTGATTTTCTGAACCAGAACTTAAAACAGGATTTTTTTTTCTGATTTTCCTGATTATTCTGGATACACAGAGGAAATATTATATATAAGCACAAATGGTGTTTTTCATCTTTTGTAGATAGTCATATAATATTTCTGCAACTTATTTCTCATGTTTTCTAAGGAGAGGTGATTGATATCCCAGACTTAGACAACTTTCTAGCAAATGAGGGGATTGAGCTCAATGAAGAAGAAAAGAAGAAACTGATGCCTCATTTGACATTCAATGGTGAGTTGTTTTTTTTCAATTCTGTTAGAAGTTTTCTTGTTATCTTGTATGTAAGATCCTTAGAAATGATCCTTATCTTTTGTATCACTTAGAACAATGCTTCTCAAACTTGAATGCGAATGAATCACCTGGGCATCTTGTTAAAATGCAGATTGTGATTCAGGTCTGAAGTATAGCTTAAGAAATCCTGCATTTCTAACAAGCTCCCAGATAGTGGCAACGTGGCTGATCCAAGGTCCACACTTTGCCTGTCAAGGACCTAAAAGGTAGAGAAATTATATATTAAGACTGTGCCTGGCCTTTTATTTCTTAAGTCACAAGTACAACCAAGTTATTATGTGCCTGCCATCCCAAAAACAAGAAGGAAAAATATTAGAGTAATTGAAATTAGCATATAAAAATGAGTATTATGGAGAGTATTAGGGAAAGCAGGGGACTTAGGGATTGGGTGGTTTGCTTATTGATTTTTATTATTGCTTATTGAGTCTAGTTGCATGATTTATCTGCTGGCTTTGCATTTTATAATTACTTTAGCTTAGTCTTTTTACTTCTATTACTCTCTTTGTTGTTCTGATACAAATTAAGAAAGAAAAAGATGATCTAGGAGCATTTGGGGAGTAGCAGTTCTAACTAGAATGATGTTGCTAGAAAGCTTATGCACAGCTCTGGCCTTGAATGCAAAGATTGTATATCAGTTTATTCAAATAACAAACATTATTTGATCACTGAATATGTCCAGGAACTAAAATGGTAAAGAAGGGAGTACCTGTGTTAAGCCCAACTGACAATAGGAAATAAAACACAACCATTATGTTCTCAAACAATGGTTTTAATAAATTTGAACCTATTCACTGCAAACATCTCCAGTTTCTATTTTTTCCAGTTTATCATTTCTTCTTATTCAGGAAGATACACTATATCTCCCTCTCTGCTCTTCAGGTGAAGAGGTTCTTCTTACCCCTTCCAGATCCATTCCTCTTCACCTGATTTTCTCCCACTTCTTCAAAAAATATTTTTTATAGAGAGATAGTTGGTATATTGTATTAGTTTCAGGTATACAATATAATGATGCAATATTTGTAGAAAAGTTATTTATTTCATAATTCAACACTTTCAGTTTCATCTATTTCTCTCTAAAGTAGCATATACTCCTCCATTCCTTTTAAAAACTAACCTTGACTTGGTTCTGGTTCTTCTGCCTTATAATTATGATCATTCACCATTCATTTTTTCTGGAGCCCCCAAAAAATAGTCAGCCACTGTTTCCACTGTTTCCCCATCTATTTGCCATGAAGTGATGGGGCCAGATGCCATGATCTTAGTTTTCTGAATGTTGAGCTTTAAGCCAACTTTTTCACTCTCCTCTTTCACTTTCATCAAGAGGCTCTTTAGTTCTTTTTCACTTTCTGCCATAAGGGTGGTGTCATCTGCATATCTGAGGTTATTGAAATTTATCCCGGCAATCCTGATTCCAGCTTGTGCTTCCTCCAGCCCAGCGTTTTTCATGATGTACTGTGCATCTAAGTTAAATAAGCAAACAATTTTTCCAACATTGAACCAATTTGTGATACTATCATGTATAGAGGAAACCCAGAAATTCTCCTATATCTAGGGACTCTTGGATAGGTTAGGGGAAGGACACATATTTCTCCTACTAACCATAGTTCTGACTTGCTACTTTGAATTCTCTGCTTTGCATTCCTTCTACTATGCTCTTGTCTTTTTTTCATTCTGTTTTTCCACTGGATGCTAATTCCATCATTTCTCAACTCAAGGCTGGCTTGGCAGCTTATTTTACTGAAACTGCTTAAAATTAAATAATAGGTCCTTATTCTCACAGATTCTGCTACCCTTCCTTCTTTAGGGGAACTTTCACTTTTTTTTCTGTTCCTCAAGTTCCAGCCTCCCCTTTTATTGCTGAGGAGGGAAGACTGAAAATATATTCAGAGTTTTGGAGAGAGAAAGAGAGAAAGAAATATGTGCTGTTAGTCTTGAAACAAGAGTAATATGTGTAATATTTTACATTACACATATGTATAATATTTTACAAGTTACATATGTGTAATATATTACAAATATGTGTAATATTTTATAGATACCAAAAATTACTTCCTTGTCAGAATTCTTTTTTTTTCTTTCTTCTGTTTTTTTTTTTCATTTATTTTTATTAGTTTGAGGCTAATTACTTCACAACATTTCAGTGGGTTTTGTCATGCATTGACATGAATCAGCCATGGAGTTACATGTATTTCCCATCCCGATCCCCCCTCCCACCTCCCTCTCCACCCGATTCCTCTGGGTCTTCCCAGTGCACCAGCCCCGAGCACTTGTCTCATGCATCCCACCTCGGCTGGTGATCTGTTTCACTATAGATAATATACATGCTGTTCTTTTGAAACATCTCACCCTCGCCTTCTCCCACAGAGTCCAAAAATCTGTTCTGTGCATATGTGTCTCTTTTTCTGTTTTGCATATAGGGTTATCATTACCATCTTTCTAAATTCCATATATATGTGTTAGTATACTGTAATGGTCTTTATCTTTCTGGCTTACTTCGCTCTGTATAATGGGCTCCAGTTTCATCCATCTCATTAGAACTGATTCAAATGAA